TGAAAAAAACAAGAATTTATCAAAAAACTGGATATTTATATGATAATAATGCGGGAAAAATTAATAAACGAATCAGAAAAATGTAAAGAATTGAACAAAATAATAACTAGTTTTAAACTGAAATCACAGGAACGCCGGAAAATACCGGTTGAGGTGATCAAATTAATGCTACAAGATGTGAAAGAAAGTAGCGAATAAATTAGATAGTCAGATGGTCAGATAGTTAGTCAGTTAGATAACCGGTTGATTAGGTCAGTTAGTTAGGTTAATTAATTAGAATTATTAGCGGTTAGTTTATACAAATTTTCAAGATGTTTCTGTGCTAATGGTGATAATTGTGAGTTAGATGGCGCCATATAATTTGTTGAATAATTAGGCATGTGTGTTAGTTGCGGTAAATTGGGTTTTTGTTTATTACCCTTACTACTATTGGGTTTTCGTTCGGTACCTTTGGAACCCCGTTTTGTCAATAAATGAGGAAAAAGATAATGATACTGTACAATTAATTCGATAATCTGTCGTCTTTTCATTTTTGTAACTGCAAAATTATCTGCTTTCATTTTGATAATTTCTTTTTTGAGTTCTTTGAGCGTATATGTATTCAGAATTTTTCGTAATTCTATCTTTTGGAGTTCATTATAGTTGTCTAATAATTGGTCAGCATTCATATAATAATTAATTAGATAATCTGTGGATAACTCTGTAATGGGTTTCTAGTTTGTCCTTATTAGAGAAGTGTTTGATACAATATTTACACGGCACTCTGATACCTTTCATATAATCATGTACTTCTATACAGATTTCATCATAGTCGTTACTTAGGATAAATTTATAGTTATTAATACTGTATTTTTCCATTAACACATATTGTGCTTTACTTACATGATAATTATTAGTTGGTGATTTGAATTCAATGCAGGGGCCTTTAGAATCTTTGTGATAATCGAGTACCATTAGATCGGGATGTCCTCTTATATATCCCTTCTTATACGAATCTAGTCTCTTATCCTCAGTATCCTGACTTTCGCCCAGACCTGCTGCTAATATAGTATCTGGATAATATCTTCTTATGAGGCTCACTACTTTATAATGGAGGTCAGTCTCATTGCCAATCATGATCATCTTATTCCAGGGACTATCAAACAGTTTATATTGGCCATATTTACGGATAGATGGGAGGACTGTAGTAAATACCCATTGGCAGAATCTTTTAGTAAACTCTAATTTAGAACTGAATACAAGTTCATAGAAGCCGGGCTCGTTTATGAATGTATAATATTTCCCTCTAGTGTCATTTTGTTGACCCGGTGTTTCACCGGCCCAACAATTTGGTCGTATAAATTGTATCATTTTGTTTTCTGCGGATACCTGCCTTCCGACAGCATCGTCAGTATCTCTATATCCAAGTATCTTAGCAATATCCTTTCCTCGGAAGCAAACATTTTGCTTATTATCAAGAAATGAAGTTAGTTCGATATTCATCTATTCATTAGTATACTTTTTTTCAATCATGCTTTTCATATATATAGGTTACATAAATATTATCATGCAGACCAAAAATATGAAAAGCATGATAGATTGAAAATTATGGTGGGTCTGAGGTGCCGTTATCAGCACATTAGACCTGAGGGGTCGTTTTTACCACCCCAGCAACGCTGTCTCATTTTGTTTCTCTCCAGTGTCATTTTGTTGAGGGGGCGAAACGTCCACGCCAACATTTGAGGTATTTTGTTGCCGTCCCCATTTTGGGTACGCCAACACTTTGGACCCACCGTACCCATTTTAGGTCCGCTGGCAGTTTACTCATTCTCCTCCTCCTCTTCCTCCGTTTCAAAGATTGCTCCTAGGACGCCGGTTAATGACATGTCTACTGTTTCCAGTTTTTTGGATATTAATTTCTTGTGGTATAATGTCGCAATCTCTTCCTCCAATTTTTGGATTTTAGTGAATAGTGCATTAAGCTCAGTTTCCTTACTCTGGATTTTAGTATCAAGCTTTCTTATATGATCGTCCATATATACTATTAGTTAGATAATTCTTGCAGGTTGCTTAGTGGGATCCAACTATTAAAGTCGTCACTATAACCCAACCATTTTACCAGAGCTTGTTTCTTCTTATAATCCCTCCGAATGACCTTTTCAATGCGAAATACATCCTGTTTTGCTGGTAGTAATTCTGGCTCATAAAAGCTGCCTTGTATTTTCTCATTATTGAGATCTTTTAATCTGTAGGTAATTGGGTTTGTGGATTGGATTTTATCGATCAGGAATATCTCCTCAGTCCAGGTAAGTGTGTACCCTTTATCGAACACTTTTCTCTTGTACTTGCTTATCCTCACTTTATCACCAATCTTGAATCTGGGCTTAGATGACAACTGTTTCATATCACCATACAGATTGTAATATACGGTATTTTCATTCTTCTTTTTACTAGCTTCTACAGGAGTCATTTTAATGGAAATGTGTTTGGTGTTGTTATATTGCTTCAGTATTTTTGGTAATATGTCGAGATATTGGATATTACCTTGGACAGTAAACTGCTTCCACATTCTGGTTTTAATTGTATGGTTCCATCTTTCACACATACTAGATTTTTCCTCATTCTCGGTTGAATATAGTGCTATGTTATTCTTTTCCAATAGTTCTCTCATATGTTTGTTATAATATTCTTTCCCCTTATCAGTCCAAAGATATTGTGCTTTACGGCCCTCTTTGAAGATGGTTTTGAATGCTTCTGTGACAGTTTCCCCTTTCTTATCCTTCAGTGGGACAATCCAGCCATATTTGGAGAATAGATCTAGTACCATGAGAAGATATCTATAACCCTTGTTCCATTTGCTGAACTGTTGCATCTCAACCAGATCAGAGCACCAAATTTTGTCAATACCAGTTGTAATAACACGCCGCCGAGTAAAGTTACGCTTTATGGGCTTATGCAATTCGTCCGCTATAATTGTTGTTGCCAACTGATACCCAACGGCTTTTCTAGTTTAAACCAAGACCGAGTTTCTGTTTTGCGTTTATTAGATTTCTAGCTAACCAGTGACCCCATTGTCGTTCACTATAGGGAATGGCGTCTAATGATTTTACCATTTTCCTATCCGCTTTATTTTTGCACTTTCGGTTATCACCACAAACACTATAATCAACATCATGTTGCATTGCCACTGCATCGGTTGGCCCAGTTGGTTGATCATAAATTTCTAATATTTCGCCAGTTTCTTGATTGTATCTTACTTGATTTTCGAGATCGTTGTAGGGGCCTGTATATTTATGTCCTGGTAAGGTCCATTTGGAAATTTGCCAATCTGCTTGTGGATATCTATAGCACCTCCATCCAAATCTTTCCTGTTAGTTTTGTAGTTTTTATTTGGTCGTATTTTGGTTGATAATTGGTTAAGAGCTTGAGAACCGACATTCTGGATCATTGGATTTAATTTGTCCAAAGCATAATCTATAGCACCTTTTCTTTAAGTACCTTTCGTTTTGTCCAATTAATTAGCAAAAATAACCAGTCCAAGCCGCTCCAAACCAGTCTCATAAATGCTGACATCAGCAAGAATGCCAATTTCAGTGGGTATGTGAATTTTGGGGATTCCGCCATCGTAGTTATTTTCCAGTCCGCGTTTTATACTTAGTCCGTATTTTATACCCAGTCCGTAGTCCGTAGTCCGCAGTCCGCAGTCCATGTTTTATATTGACCGATTACCAAATTTCAGATGCTCAAAGAGAGATGAAAAAACGGTACAAGGAAAATTGCTACCAGTTCATCCTATATAATGACTATATCACATCTGTAAAGAAGTACACAATTACATGGCTGTTATTCATGTGCCGTGTAAATACTGCGACAAAGCGTTTCTAAATAAAGAAACACGAAAAACTCATTATCAGGTCATTCATAGAATAACCAAATAAAATCCACGTTTGTGGACCAGTTTTTGCACTTTGTATTTAGATTTGCATGCAGATCTGAATATATAAAACTTATTTTAGCTTTTTATCATGTTCTTTCAAAACATCCTCCAGTGCGAGCAAATCATTCTTATAATAAATTAGATCCCGCAATATACTTTTATTCACTCTATACAATAACTCTGAAATTGGGTTTAACCATTTTCTCCGCTTTTTGGGTCTTGGAATATTGGATTAATATTTTAATTTCCACTGTATGGATGAAACAAATGTCCTCATGGATGCTGGGGTCTTTTTTGGGAGAAACGAGCGACGCGAGAGAAAGAGCGTAGCGATAAGGGTGTACGGGAAACCGGCGGGACAGCCACCGTAGTCAGGTGAGAAATGCATAAACACCGAAGGAGTACAACGCCGTAGATTAGGTACACCCAGAAACCGTTTTATTACTCTCACGTCGTTATGAACATTTACTAAAAAGTACCCTTTAAAAGTGTATGGCAGTCAGTATTTAAAAGTCCTCGCTTCAGCGTGATCTTTCCTCGAAAGCCTAGAGCCTGTCCATTGTTAATTGTCTATTTCTCTGATTCTATCCACGTCCATTCCAGGCGAGCTCGATCGCTCTAAAGAGGATTATGATATCCATGCAAGGTCCATTCCGTGCCTCGAAAACAAGGAGAGACGGATGGCGGGTATAGACTTTGCTCATTTTGGTCTGGAATCATTGTTTGCGAGGAAGCTACGAGCGTGTATGAACGTATTTATCGTTTCAATTTCAAATGAGAAAGAAAGATAAATAATTATGCGAGTTCTTTTTCGTTGCTGTTCTTAATCTAAGTAATGGTGACATGTGGATAATTTCTTAGAGACAAGGTCTGAAAACTGGTATGGATTTTAGATTTCTGAAAACGGGTGTAAAAAATGACCTGATTTGGTCTGAAATAGAGTCAGGATTTGGGGAACCGGGCGGCACATCCCCACCAAGAATTCCCAGGAGTACATTCCCCCTCTCCCCCGAGTCATTTGAGATCCCGTGTCGTCTTCGTCTCTGCTAATTACAAGTCATCTTTACTTTAATTTCAGCGATCTATGCTGGGTTTCCCTGGTATTCCAGGATCAAATGGTATACCGGGAGTGCCGGGTGTCCCAGGGCCACAGGGACCCCAGGGAAGGGAAGGTGTAAAAGGACAAATTGGTGATAAAGGATCGCAAGGAATGCCGGGTGCAAGAGGAGACAGGGGGCCCAAAGGAACCCTTGGGAAGAGTGGACCTCAAGGAATTAAGGGAATGAAAGGTCAACAGGGACTTCTGGGAATGAAAGGAGAGCCAGGCATTGCGGGAATGAAAGGACAGCGAGGAGCTGTCGGAATTAAAGGTGAGCGAGGCATTGCGGGAAATCAAGGAAGAAAAGGAGAGAAAGGCGAGACAGGACAAAGCGCCCAAGCAAGTCAAGCAAGTGTAGTACCACAAACCAATTGGAAACAATGCGTGTGGAAATCAGACACCAGTGTTGATAACGGAAAGATTAAGGTAATTGCAATAAGAATCATTCATAACACACTCCAAAGAAAATTCATTCCTTCTAAATCAAAATATTTCAAAAAAGAACGTCTCCCTGCTCACTCGCCGTTTGCCAACACATAACATAAATGGCTAAGTTACATTTCCATCTACTTTGGTTCTTTGTGAACGAAAAAAGGAAAACCATCATGCGTGATATAATGATTCCTGGCCATATGGATAAGGACAACGAAAATTGAAGTTATTACAGAGGTTTTAAACATTAGAAAGTAATCTTGACTGGAGTTGTTAGAATCAGTCATTACACACGGTTGCTCGCCTTACTTCAATATGATTGATTTTTTTTTATTTTATTCCAGAACTGTGCGTTTAACAAACTGCAGTCTAATTCAGCACTGAGAGTCTCATTCCAGGGAAACATGAGAGTAATAGGTCATATTAAGTGTAACCGCTGGTATTTCAAGTTCAATGGAAATGAATGCAGTGGACCAATGACGATTGAGGCTATTGTTTACAACTACTGGCCATCTGGGACGAACGATAATCTGTTGCATCATCGGTCATTTGAAGGGTACTGTGAAAACATCCCGCAAGGGGCGGTTAGAGTGGAGTTATGGGTAGGAAAGTGTAGTGGCTACACCCTGGGTGATGCTCACACCGGCTGGAATTCAGTGTCCCGGATACTGATTGAGGAAGTATCTAGGCCCCAGTCCTAATAAGGGGAGTCTAACTTTGGCGCTGTTTAAATTTCCTTAGAATAACATTCTGCAAATATAGACTGTAAAGCGCATAGTGCGAAAGTATTGTTTTTGATTATTTTCTTTTTAGCCCTTTGTGGTTACTTTTGTCGTTAAAAAACATAATTTTGTATTATTATGTCGGCATGTTAGTCTTATTCGTGGAGTTTTGTGCAGCAGTTCTGGGCGATCCCGCACCTATTTGAAAGATTGTTTTTGATTAGCTGGGAAAACAATAAGGATTGTCACGCAACAACGCCAGTAGTCCTAAAAACAATGGAGGTGCAGATTAAAGGGGACCAGTGAGATAAGAGGTTTAAACGGTGCAGGTATATTGGCAGTTCTTTGTTTTGTCACGCAACGCTTCTTTAGTTCCTTTGTGGGAAGGTACCTTACGTGACGACACAAAAATCGGCTGCGCTCATAGAGAATTGGTCCCCCATAGAGCCGTTTTGTCTCGTCACGCACTTCTTCTTCTTCGTTGGGTGACGAGACAAAAATGGCTGTGATAGAGAGCGATTAATTGGCAATGCTTTTTTTTTTTTAATATGATACGTTGTGGAAGAAAGATATATATCAATACAGCATATATCTCAGGGGAACCCATTCTCTCCTTTGGGCAAGAGAGTATACCATCAGATTGTCGTTCATTTCCTGAAGTCTATATATATGTAGTCAAAGTAAAGGCCATGATATAATCTTTCATCTCAGCGAAAGAAAAAAACCGCTGAAGAAAATGATTTAATTAAATGATGCTGGTGAATGGAGAGGAGAAGTCGATACGTCACGTTGCAATGGTAGCAAACTTTTTGGATGACGAAAAACCAAAACGTCACTTAAAAAGTGAATTCGCATTGTTTCAAACTTCATCGATCTTATTTAATTTCATTTAATTTGTCAAATACTGGCGAACTTTTCAGGGTTATATCCGAAAGGACTGTATGTAAGTTTAGAAAAAGAAAAACAAAATTTTGTGTTGTGCTCACCAACTCCATAAAGCGGGCGCGTGAAATTCGGAAGTTTCATGTCGCGGTCGTGCAACAACAGATAACAAATGTACAAAAAAGCGTGATGCGCGTGCAAAAGATGTGTTTTTGCCAATCTCGACCTTTTGTTTTTTTGCTGTTCGCCGTCGCCGTCGCAAAAACTCCCAATTGTTGTCATCCAGAATTTTGTTATCATGATAATGTGAAGTCACACTTCTCCTCTCTATTACATCTTTAATCAATGCTCGATTCCCAGTTTGTAGCTAAACACTTCTAGGCAAAACCATTATTAATATCGGATAAAAATTTTGAGGATAAAAATCGAACGTTGTAAAATCTATAACAATTATCTGGAAAGATGAATATCATAATAGGATAACTTGATTATCTCTAGCCTGCGTGCCAGCATTCAAAAGGGAAGGGAAGTGAATTTAGGCACGAGACCGCGCGCGAGGGAGAAGGGAGGAGAGGCGCCCTTCGTGCTTCCCACGCGCCCATATCCTCTTTCTCTTCCCTTTAACAGACCGGATTATCTCTCAAACAGTGGGGAAAAAATGGAATGTTGAGATTCTTGTCAAACCTTCCCATTATGTTTATAGCATCTTTTTTATATTTCTTTCATGTCAGTGTAGTTTGCTTCAATGTGTTATTAAAGCTTTCAATAAGAGAAAACAGTTTGTACAAATCTTGTGCATTATTTTTTCCTAACAAATAAGATCAGAGGGATTAATTGAACTCATTATGTCCGCTCCTAACAGAGAATTTCCCGTACAGTCTCTCAGTATCCATCTATCCAATGCAGCTATTTGCAGACTTTCGTGGTGATTTAAACGAAAATAAACAGCCCCTGACAATGATATGGACTATTTATATTTTGAAAAAGTTAAATATCGAAATACTTTTGATCAGAGGAGAAAGTGGTACTTAGTTCCAAGGGTTTTTTTTTCCTTAGAAAATTAGAAGGGGGGGGAAAGGGCGTCACAATCATTTGGATACCTAAATTACCAGTGCTTTAAATTACCCGGTACAGGATACCGTATGGGTATCCCTTACCGGGCATACCATACAGTAAGTTCTAGCAAGTTAAGACGTCACAGTACGAACGTCCGTCATGAGTACAGTTTACTTTTATTTATCAAGGCTTTTATTTCTGTGTAGGTTTTTAAATACCATCAGTGTAACGGCTTAATTTTTTATCCTGTGTTTTTTGTGGTTTTCTTGAAAATACTGACACTTTTATCTTAGCCTGATAGCAAACATGGCCCTTGGAGAGCAGTCGGTTCTACTATCCTAAACGAAAAAACGTTTCTTCGATGTTTCAGCCGGAGGTGAACTAATAAAAGGTTAGAATATCCAAAAAACAGTGCACCTATGATAAACGAGTACCAACGTATAACAAACTGGATCATTGGATAATTCAATTCTAGAGCTCTGATTGGCTTAGCCATCAGCATAGGAGGCATTGTACCATTCTCTCTAAATATTATGGTAACTGTACGCGTCTGCTCAAAATTAAAAACAAGCTGAAAATCGGATGTTTTTGCTAATGAAATCGGAAAGAATTCTCGACATTTTGTTGGCGTTTTTAATAAAACAATTATTCCACTCGCGCTTTTGTTTTAACTGATGGATATAACATGATTATAGCCAACTCGGCGCTACGCGTGTCGATTCATAGGACCTCCTTTGATTTTACATCTGGGTCGGAGGAAACCCAAGGAGGATGATGCAATAACGTTTGTGGTATAGTAAGTAGCCGCCTTTGCCCACTAAGAATACACGTAAAATAAGGGAACTAGCCTAGGTATCAAACAACGTGGCTTATAAACCCAAAGCTTCTTGCAGTACAAAAACATGCACGTATTACATAGTGATAACTGCATGCAAACTACCTTTCACAACTAACGACAAGGCGTAAGAATCACCGAATTTCGTGAGTCATCTAAACCTAAACTATAGTTTAAATATCTATAAGAAGTAAATTGAACTGTTCTGAACGAACAGAGATAAAAGCAGTTTGCCTTAGTCTTACCTTAGTGCTGGACGATGTCGTGACCTTTCAGCGCTAGAAATAAGTCAAGCAGAAAACAAAACTGAATCGTTGGCAAAATTAAATTTTCCGCTTCCATATATTAATGAAGACGTCTGATGTCGCTATACTGTTTACAGAAAGGAAAAAATATAAACGCTTAATTTCACCAATATCAGTAACTTTTGCATAAGGCAAGTCAAAAAGTTGGTGTACTATTGAGACTGCGAAAGTTTGATACCATGCAATGCAAAACTGATAATCTACAAATCATCCAAAGGTATGCTTCATCACTTAACATATTGCCATCTGGTATGGCATAACTGCAGATCTTCTGACAGCAGAAAAATAGAGCGGATTCAAGAACGCGCACATAGAGCAGTATTTAACTCCCATTTACAATCATGCGAAATCCTTTTGGTTCCCGCAGAGCTACCTCTGGCTGTGTATAAAAGTGGGACGGGGACAAGGGGACAGGGACATCGGGACGCGTGCGTGGGGACTTGGGACTTGGGGAAGCGAGAGGGGGGACTTGAGGATATCAAGCATGGGACGCGGGGACGTGTGGGACAGGGACGCGGAGACGTCAAATACAGGGACGCAAGGGACGCAGGATATGAATAATTATTGCAAAAGTAGGAGGTAAATGCGTCACTTTCCTCGTGAATATGTTTTGGTGAAGGCAACCCACCCTTCCCTCCTTAGTGTTCCTCCATGCCTGTTTACGAAGTGAAGACTCGGCGAAGACCCCCTGCGTTAAAGAAAGTGAAGCCGTTGTCCTGGTCTTCTTGCTGATGGAATATTGGAGCCTAAAGCAGGGTAGGGTGGGTTGAGGTCGCCAAAAATTCTGTAGATTAACAGCATTCGATTCCAAATAAATAAAAAAATTAAGTCGCATAAGCGAGCTTCGAGTCCCGAAGTGCTATAATAACTCCGAAATCCATCGCCTGTGCCACTAAACCACGAAGGATTCAACTATTGTAGCAATATCTACTTTGTTCTACATCCTAACAGTAAATGCTTGCTAACATTACTTAAAGGTTGATTTCCACTGACGCGTTTTTGGCTATGCACGTTAACGCAAGTAAATTTTAATCAAGTAAATAATATAGAGACAAGATATAAATTGTTGAGATTAAACGTGAAGTTGAGCGAGATTCTACTTATACGCTTACGTGCGACCTTTCATACATTGCCTTTATTTTATTTGCGAACGTAATTTTTACACACGTATGCATGGAAAAATTACGCGACAGTGGAAATCAACCATAACCCTGATCACGATAGTCAGTGCCCTTACTCCTATTATAAGGAAACATTTGGTGTAAACATCATAAGGTGTCCAATGTGGTTTTGGAAGATGGAATCTAATGTTTAAATACTCATTTTCACGAAGAAAGAGATATCGCATTTACCTCCTACTTTTGCCGACGATAATCATTCACATCCCGCGTTCCTTGCGTCCCTGTTTTTGACGTCCCCGCGTCCCCGCCCCACACGTCCCCGCGTCCCATACTTGATGTCCTCAAGTCCCTCGTCTCACGTCCCGATGTCCCCGTCCCCTTGTCCCCGTCCCACTTTTATACACAGCCCTAATGCCTAATCGAAGACTGCAAGATATTGCAGCTATCTGCAGCCTTGCCTGGTTGAGTGCGTTAACTTTATGAAGAAAAAAGTGCCTTATGTTCCCAGAGCTTTTTGACTTAGAAAATGGAAGTGGGGTGGGTGAGGGTGGGGGGAGCTTCACAATCATTTGGATGTCTAAATCATCAGTGCTGTATGGGTATACCCGGCAGGAAATATCGTATGGGTATAAACGGTGGGGATACCGTATGGGTATGCCCGGTAGGGGATACCCATACAGCAAGTTAAGTAAGGCCGGACCATCGCAATACGGACTTTCGACAAGAGTACAGTTTCTTTTATTTAGCAAGGCCTTTATTGCTTTGAACGTCTTTATTTAAAAAGTTCACTACTTTATCCTTTTCTGTGTTTTTATGGTTTCTCTTAGAATACTGACACTTTTATCTCAGCCTGATAGCAACATCTCCCTTGGAGAGTATTCTTTTCTGTCATTCTAACCGAAAAAATAATAATAATAAAAAAAAAAACACGTTTACTCTATGTTTCAATCGAAGGTGAACTAACAAAAGGTTAGAATAGACAAAAAAAAAAAAAAGGAGAAGAAGAAAAAAAAAAACATTGCATTTATGATACAAGAGTACCAACGTATAACAAATGTCGAACCTGCACCGACACGTAGGAACTCTTTTGATTTTATATTTGGGTTGGACGATACTTCAGATTATGATTCAATAATTGTGTGTGGTATAGTAAATAGCCGCCTTTTCCCAGTAAGTTTACTCCTAAAATAAGAAAGAAGCTTAGTCTGGGCATCAAACCACTTGACTTCTTAAAACCCAAGTCTTCTATCAGTATAAACAGACACGTACTACACGTATTACACTGTTGTTGACCATGCATGCATGCAAACCACCTTTTACAATAACAAGAAGGCGTAAGTATCACTGAATTTCGTTAGTCTGTGACCTACCCCTAAAGTATAGCTTAAATATCTGTAAAAAGTAAATTGGACTATTCTAAATAGATAGAAAAAAAAAAAAAAAAAAAAGCAGTTTGCCCAAGTCATGTGCTTGATGACGTCGTCACCTTTCAGCCCGAGAGCAAATAAATTAAATTTTCTGCTGGCATTACCGTTTGGTATGGTACCGCTATACTTTAAGACGCCATTCAATCTTGTTTCGCAGTGAATAGGTACACAACTGTCTTCCGAAGAGGCGGTAAATAATGGTGGCGATAAACCGTGACGCAATGAGCGTCCAGGATATCTAGCGCTATGCACTGACCCTAAAGAAGGGTAGATGTTTAGCCATAAGTCAGTGGCTAGCTAGCAATTTTCGCGTGTTTTGATTGGCCCCCGTAACCTCCGAGGGTCTTATATTCAAGGGGGGCTTAAAATCGGAATAGAAAATGAGTTTTGAAATACGCTATATGGGTGCTGATCAAAATACGAGTTGCATTTACTAAATGTAATTCATAGGTGGGGGACGGCTAACTGCTACCTGAAGGGGGAGAGGGGAGGGGGGGGGGGGCTTATATACGGGGACACTTTTAATAGTATGTATTTTTCGTCTACAGGTAGGTGGGTAAATAACTGGGGCTTTATAAGTGGTGGGGTGGGGGGGGGGGCTTATAATCGACTATTACGGTATGTGAGGAATTAGCCAGGCTCCTTAAGTTAATTACAGACTGGGTTCAAGTATTATAAAAAGAGACCTCGTGTTTGGGCATTCGCATAGCACGACTTAGTTGAGTAGAAAATAGGAATGGATTGTATAAAACAGTTTTAATCCATTGTTTTTGTTTTGTTTTGTTTTTTTTTTGCTATTTAAAGGCTGGCTTACACGCAGCGATAGTATGCCCTATTTCAAAGAACGTATATGGTGATGCAACAGATTAGTTTAATTGTAATCTATCCTGTTTTTGGCCAGTTTATATCTTTTTGTAGCGTGAAAACCACCCTCCAGCCCTCCAGTAACAAGTGCAAGTTTTCTTTAACATGGAAAACTTCCCCCGTTGTTAAAAAGGTAAAAGGAAGCTGCATTATGTTACAAGCCTCATTATGTTATAAGCTCCATTATTTTACGTGCTACTTGACTCACAATTTTGTTATCGCGCGAAAATGAAGCTGCCTCTAACATAAATGTCTCGCAACAGTATTTTGCGGCAGTTTTTTGTTTTTTTTTTAAAAAAAGAAGTAGGTTTACGTTCTAGATTATGTAACTTCTGCTACAGCAAAAATGAAAAAGTAGACGATGCGCTCTCTTTTTGACTGACTCTAGATTATAATAGCCGGGGAGGCTACTCAACACAGTATTATATGGGGAGGCTTCGCCCCGAGCCGTGACTAACCCCTAAACCCTTTGATATACCATTTTTAACAAAAAAGATACCCTTTTGTATACCTTCTATTGGCCGTATTCACACTAGAGACGGATTATCCGCCTGAGACGGGTTATCCGGTGGAAAGTTCGCGTCAGATAGATAATCGACCTATATGATTGCACTAATAAGCTGTAGCTATGGGACCATATCATGGCTATAAACGAAAAAAAAAACATCTGAATATAAGCCCCACCGGGTATAATAAACTCCCCTCTTGCTTGAACTGAATTGAATTCGATTTCTAATGACGTTTTGAAGCCTTAATTAACGACCAGTAAATGCAAAAACATATATTTTGATCAGCAATGCTACAGCTTATTTCGAAGCGCTTTTTCTATGCCATCAATAAGCCCCCTCGGATATTAAAAGCCCCTCCGTTTATACGCCTTCTTAAAACCCCTTAAAAAGATGTACATGTATAACCCGAGGGCTTATAAGCGACAATTTATGGTAAGGGACCGTTCACATATCTACTACCAACGGAATGTCTTTTGTCATTTTCATGTAGCGTTTAATTTGATTCAATGAACTTTAACTTTAATTTTAACTTTGGAGGCTGTAACATTGCCAAATTTGTAAGTGATACGTCTTAAGTGTGCAAAGATATAGCTTCGCAAAGCTGCGAAAATTTACAGACGTTTGTACGTGGAGGGTGGGGAGGGGGAGAGCAAACGCCTATAAAATTTCCCGACTTTGAGGCTATGAGGAGCTACATCTTCGTTGGTTTTCTAAACGTCAGTCACTGTCAACAACAACAGTCCTATTCAGGACTACGTTCACCCGGATGATCGGGTTCAAACTCTTTCACAATTTATGTTCTGTCATTAATTTTTGGAATGTTCATCTTTGACCCTCCTTCAGTACCCTAAAGCAGGCTTATAAACAGAGAATAAAAATATACAAAAATATTGCCATAAAAGGAAAAACAAACAAGCAAAAACAAACAAACAAACATACAATATACCGGAACAGAGGATTTACTTAAAATATTTGCTATAAAATGAATGAGCACGTAGCACTGATTTCAGAAAACGCTGTGTTCTCGTTCAACTCTCTCCGCCATGGCTCAGTATTTCGCTGTTTTCGTGATTCTCTCTTTTTTTGGCGGCTCGCTGGGAACAACCACCTCATCTCAGCAACAAAACACCGCAAAGTTAAAAGACTTATGCCAGGTGAGAAATGCATAAAGATATAGAAAGGAGTACTGCGCCGTAGATTAGGTACACCACGAAACCATTTTATTACTCTCACTTTCCTTATGATCATTTACTAAAAAGTACTGCCCGTTAAAAGCGTAAGGCGATGTATTTAAAAGTCCTCGCTTCAACATGATCTTTTCTCGAAAATCTGAAGCCTGTTTATTGTTAACTGTTAATTTTCTCTGATTCCATCCACGTCCATTAGAGGCGAGATAACGCTTTAAATAGGATTATGATCACTGTCCAAGGTCCATTTCGTGCCTCGAAACAAAGGAAGACGGCTGGCGGGTACAGACTTTGTTCATTTTGGTGTGGAATCATTGTTTGCGAGAAAGCTACGGGCGTGTATGAACGAAATTATCCTTTCATTTCCAAAACTGGGAGAATTAATCTAAGTAATGATGACATGCATAATTTCTTAGAGACAAGGTCCTAAAATTGGTATGGATTTTAGAGGCCAAGTCTGAAAACGGGTGTAAAAAATGACGTGTTTTGGTCTGAAATAGATTCAGGATTTGGAGAGCCGGGCGGCACATCCCCAACAAGAATTCCCAGGAGTACATTCCCGACTCCCGAGTTATTTAAGATCCCGTGTCGTCTTCGTCTCTGCTAATTACAAGTCATCTTTATTTTCAGCGTTCTCTGATGGGTTTCCCTGGTATTCCAGGATCAAACGGTATACCGGGAGTGCCGGGCGTCGCGGGGCCACACGGACCCCAGGGAAGAGAAGGTGTAAAAGGACAAATTGGTGATAAAGGATCACAAGGAATGCCGGGTCCAAGAGGAGACAGAGGGCGCGAAGGACCCCCTGGGAAGAGTGGACCCCAAGGAATTAAGAGAATGAAAGGTCAACAGGGACTTCTGGGAATGAAAGGAGAGCGAGGCATTGCGGGAATGACAGGAGAGCGAGGAGCTGTGGGAATAAAAGGAGAGCGAGGCATTGTGGGAATGAAAGGAGAGCGCGGAGCTGTAAGAATGAAAGGAGAGCCAGGCATTGTGGGAATGAAAGGAGAACGCGGAGCTGTGGGAATGAAGGGACAGCGAGGCATTGCGGGAATGAAAGGAAGAAAAGGAGATAAAGGAGAGAAAGGAGAAAGCGCCAAAGCAAGTCAAAATAATTGTAGTGAGCTGGCTTTCGAATTCGGTTTCAATGTCAAGTTTGGGCCAACATGTTTGCCGCTTTTCTCCAGCCATCGCCCACTTGTCGAGCTTCTGATGCTTCGGAAACCTACATAATCATCCTGTTTCCTTCAAGATATACGCGTCCCTTTTGATTGCAAACAGCAAATAGCTACTAAACATTAAAAGCAGAAGACATCCCACGTAATTGTATTTAAAAAGAAGTCTGTACAAAGTTATTTTAGGTGGAATCCGTGCTAAACACTCTGCAAGTTCACTGAAAGTCTTCATTTGCAATTTTTGTTTACCCTCCAACGCCTCGCTTTCATGAATATGCACCAGTTTTTTTCCCGCGTGTCCTCCATTTGTGAATACGGTGTAAAATTGTAGTGATAGCTGCATGCAAACGACCTTTCACAACTAACGAGAAGGCTTAAGAATCACCGAATTTCGTTGAAATTAATTTTCCTCTTGCATTAGAAGACGTTTGATGTCGCTATACCGTTTACAGAAAGGAAAAAATAAAATTCATAAGCTTAAATTCACCAAATCAGTAACTTTACCATAAAAGCAAGTCAAAAAGTTGGTATACCATTGAGACTGCGAAGTTTGATATCATGCATATTTTGATTGTATTACATTCTTTCTTATTTGTAAATAATTTTGTGAAAACTAATTACATTGACACATTAATGAAGCTGTTACTTACTTACCTACTTACGCCATTTTATTTTATTTCGTAGTGAACTGGTGCACAACTATCTTCCCAAGAGGCGGTAAATAATGGTGGAGACGCAATGAGTGTCGCTCGAGTCTTTTTAGCGCCTTACACCGTCCCTGAGGAGGGGTAGATGTTTAGCCATTTTCGCACGCTTTGATTGGCTTCCGTAACTCGGAACAGTCCTTAACTATGCACCGGCTGTTTTAGGACGGGCGTCAAGATTGCGTGTCCTTTAGCGACAACTAACAGATACTAAGAAACAAACGAAAGTTGTTTGTTTTGTTTCGTGGTAATTAGACTTGATATTTCAGCAACCTGACCCTACCCTGTTTAAGACAAAGAAACATTATTTTATGACCCTAACTCATTTCGTTTTGCAAACAGAATTAGGCATTTTTGAAACGAATACCAGGTAATACTACAAAAGGATTATTCACAGCACAAATGTAGGCCCAACTTTCACACTCTTTAAAAGGCATCCCGTCCAAAAATCACCTCGTTAAAGAGGCTAAATGGTGAATTAGTTGACCTTGTTTGAGACTCACTATAGTGAAACCTTAAAACCAACTTCATGTTGTTCAGTGGCACGTAACCTTTTAGGCTAAAGAAGTAAGGGAATCCCCCGGGTCTTCAATTAAAATTGAATTGGCCATTTTGCGAAAGGGATGATACTTCGTTATTTATAAAAAACGGGCGTAGTTTTGTATGCTTCTTGTTCTAGCCTGTAAAACAGGTGTTATTTACTTACTTTTGTTTGTTTCTGATTTTTGCTTTTGCTTGCGGGAAAAGGTAGGCACGAGGCGATCATCATAGAACGCTTGATTTTGCAGCAAAAATGAGATCTGCTGACAAAAAGATTTGAAGACAAAAAAGCTTTTTGATTCTGATTATAAACAAACATTCCCTAGTTTGCCGACATGTTTACTTAATAATATTATATGGCATTTTTTTTCTGCCCTAAGCTTTCGTTATAATCTTTCTCGTCTGGTGCCTTTAAATCAAGAGTAGATTTGCTTTTTTAGCAGGTAATTGTTCTTGGAGATACTACCATCTGAAGTGACTTAATAAATTGTTAATTCTTGGGCGCTGCTAAGCAAAGTACGACTTGCCAAAGCCGAGGGCTGAAGAAGGGAATTGACCTGTGAGAAACCCCAACAAATTACGATATCTTACCGTGATAATAAGGTTCAATAACTTTTTTTATCATTTTATATGCAGTCGAAGCTCTGCTCGCTACCTCTTCCGTAAGCTAGAGGCGACCAGTTTACAGCCAGTTTATACAGTCACTACGGAACCTCGATAATTGACTCGGATAACTAGAATTCTTCGCTAACTCGAACTAAATTTCCCTTCCCTTAATCAAAACTTCACTGAAATTTACCCAGATAACTCAAATGTCTCGCTAATTCGAACCACGTTTCGTTTCCCTTCAGAGTTCGAGTTACCTGGGTTTTACTGTATTACCAACCAGTGCCCCCCCACCTCCGCCCCCCCGCTTAACATGCAAAAAAATGCATAGCTGAATATTCTCTACGCATTTTACGGGTAAAGTCAGTGGAGATCAGATGTAAATGAATTATGGGGTTCACTGAATATACTGCATGACAAGTATTTGAAAGTGAAGAAAATTTAAAAACCACGGGATATAAAGACGACGAGCGTGAACGGGAAATTCAGGCGCCTTGACGTGGGTTTAGGAGATCAAGTGAGAAGGAGAAGTGGCGATACAACGTTCTGCATGATGTTATTAAGCAAAGCTGGGAAAGCATGGTAAAAAGGCTTCAACATTTTAATAGTGTGCTTGAGCAACGACGTTTTGAGCCGGACGCACGTGAACCGAAAGTGCACTTTGGATCCTTGGGCAGTATTCTGCCGAGCAGTATGATAGCATCAAGCCAAATTTCGCGGGAAAAGCGTTCTATTAGACTAAAGGCACTTAGTTGCACAAGTAAGAATTTGGGTTTCATGGCATATTAAGAAAGAACAAGGTCTCACTGCTTATTGACGTGCGTTGAATGCCTTTGCTTGAGCTCCCTATTAAAAGAAGAAACGAAGGCACAATGTTGAGCCAAAATTAAACAGAAAAAAAAAAAATGTACGTCCAGCACCATGTCACTAATCGCAATGTTAATGCCAATAGTTGGAAAGAATGTAAGAAACTTTGCCTTGGCTGTAAACGAATGCTAAAGCAGGAACAGTAAAGAACGTCTATTCGCGTGGGCCGTTTTTAAAATAACGAGTAAAACATACAAAATAATAGTAAGTTTTGTTTTAAGCTCACCACCGACCACAACTAACCAACAATGGTTTCCGCAACCACAATAACAATTTGCATTTTTACTTTTTATCTAAAACAAAGGACGTTATCAATCACCTTTAATGTTTTGTTTTTATGAATTTTAATAACAAACTCGCACAAAAAAACATAAACACTGCACTATGAATCAATTTTGGTTTGGCGATAACCAATGGGTTTTGCGATGTTAGCTCGTTGTTTAATTTCCTCGTTTACATGTCGTTTTCTCTTCTCTAGCTCAGAATCAGTGGTTAAATCAAACGTTACAATCTTTGTGTACACCAGAAGGAAACAAAAACAACTATCAGTACAGTTTTGGTCGTTCTGTGTACGCGCTAACGGTCTAGTAAACTATAAATGAACCGGTCCGCTAAAACAGTCGTTGATTTTTCTTTCTTATATTATGATTTGATGTTCACAGTCTATCGGTTCATCCGATTAGTTTCTTAAAAGAATTAACGCAGTTTACTTGCCTCACCAAAACAAGGAAGAATTAGATATTATCGTTAATGATATATGTCGCAAAGTTAAGAGAACTGATATAAACGTCGCTGTTTAATGAATCTGCGAATGTCTGCATCGACGATGAGAATGCCGTTTCTTTCTAAGAACTTCAATTTTCTTAAAAAAGTTTCAACTAAACTAGAAGGCCAGCAAAAGTTTTTTTAAAGGTACTTCCCTTTGCCATTTCAAGTCACAACAACGAACAATAAAGATATTAGAATCGGTATTGTCCAATCAGTTTATCAGTTCTAGTGACGTCAGTATTTAGTATTTTCTGATTAGCTGACGTCTCCTCTATTGTTCTGTTCCCTATATATTTGCGATACCACCCGGATGGTTTGGGTGGATCAGTAAAACCAGCGCACCACAAACTTCTCTTGCCAACACCTAAGATAGCAAAATACAATCTTATGCTAATTCTCAAGCACCAACTAACATAGTTATAGAAATCCAAAGAGGCGCTTTCAAGTCAGTTTACATCTTTGTGCACATCCGCTACATGGCTTGCATCTGATTAACAGTGGGGTCTCAGTCAAGGAATTTGAATAGGCACATTGCACATGAAAATTAAAGCACCGTCTCCATTGCTTTAACAGAATATTATATTTTCAATAAATGGAGACCATGTAGGTCACTGAAGTGGAACAGAAAAGGGACAATGGTAAAGAAATATTTTGATTAAGAGACTGGTGTCTTATAATTCATACATGTGAAGACAAGAACGAAGAATGAAAACATACATTTCTACTCATGAGATCACACTGAAAAGATTATCATCGAGAATTGATATTCTCTCGGTCTTGATTAGCTTTAGACTCCAATTGTACTCGATCCAAATAAAAATAACTTAAGCCCCACACTTAAAAATCATAATGAGTCTGTGGGTTTCAAATGATTCAATCAGTGATCTAATATAATAACATCCTCAGTAGAGACTGTCTACAGTTGTCATAGTGTTACATCAAACGTAGTAATTTCAACTTCATCTTCATTAAACTTCATCTAGAAAAAAACTGTCAAACTAAGGTTTTTAAACTTCGTTTAGTTAAACTCATTACAAAAAGTTTCAAATGGTTCGTTCAGCGATCTTTAGAAAGCTAAGTAGACTATCTACAGTTGTCATTTTACATGGAGCCAAGCAAACCAGTTTATCTTAAACTCCAAACGTCATGTTATAAGTTAGCCATCGAGGCAACTTTAACTAATTTATACTTTCACAAAACTCGAATTTATTTTTTTTTTCGTTACGGTTAACGGATCTGTTAAAAATTAACCCTCGGACGTACGAGCAAATTCATACCCCCACCGTCGTACGGGGAGGGTGTACTTCCGAGGGTTAATTACCATTTTTTTTATATTAATTTCATTGTAAGATTACATTTTAAGTCTCGGGAACAATCTGGTCTGTATCTCTGTCCCTACACTGCGGCTGCCGTAAATTGACGTATACAAAACAAATAAAACAAGAAAGTATGTTTACTCGTATTTGTGAAGCGTAATAAATGTGCCCGTGGAAACATTTGAAGTAACATCCATGCTGTATGAATAACAGTCCTTCAGTTTCCCTTAATGTCGTGGCTTACCGTTTTGCGACTGCCTAATTAAAAACATTAAACCGTATCCACGCTTTGACTTGTCTTCCAGACCTCCTTCGGCGAGTTTTTCACAGGTTTACCATTGACCAGTTCTTCTGAGTCATAATCAGTGGAATCAACCTCAATACAATCGGAATCGCTTTCGTACTTCACCAGCTGGTTGAAATCGGCCTCGGACGCGAGCATAACTTGCGGAACAATGGTATCGCTCACGAAACTTATTGCGCACTTTTTGTCAGCGACAGAGGAATTTTTTTATGTAAGAAGGCAGTGGGCGTTATGTTGACTTGGTCGGCTGGAAAAAGCACCCTTGTAACAGCAAAAGAAACTGGATAAGGTCTAAAAATGGTAAGAGCCGTCAAAACGTCTGTGCTGCGACACCGTTCGACTGACACTTCCAACACTTCCAGTTTACTGAAAAAGGAGAGTGTCGGCTTTTCTCGCTCTACAAGATCCCAAAAAGACTCGTAAAATCATCAAATTCAAGATACATTGAGTCTTCAGACGAGACCTTGAACATTTATTTTTATGACCATAATTATTACGGTTAACGGTTATTTTATTTTATTTTTTTTTTAGTTTTCACGCCTATTGTCTAGATTAATGGCCGTTTTACGGCCAACGGTTAACCCCACTGAGACCCTAGTAGAGGTCATGTGATAATATAGAAAACCGCTTCTTTCAAATTTCGTCTTATTGACGTGCATGTGTATGCATAACTTATGAAAAGGCTCGAATAAGACATAGGGTAGCCTGCGTGGCAAACATTTCCGTTTGGTTTCAGAGCAAAGAACGACTGAGAAACGGGATTTTTGGTTTTGGCCGCGAGAGAAATGAAACGAGAGGCCACTTTTCGCGTTGTCTTTGACTCTCGTTCCTCGTTCTTTGCTCCGAATATCGAACCGAAACGTTTGCTACGCAGGGTAGACAAAAGGTCAAGTTAACCTGGGACCTCTATTGGAAAAACAAAACATACAAGCTAAGGATGTCTGTTAACGATCTTAACTGCTAGGAGGGAGGAGAGATGACTGTATTCGCAGGCGTTAGATTTCAATTGATAATTCTTCAGCAAACAAAAACTGTACCTTATTATTCTTATGGATAAACCTGACTTTAAACTTGCCGACCGGATTGTTCTCCACAATCAAAAATTTTTCTGCATTCTGGAATCCGGATTCCATTACATGAGGAGAGAAAATTCATGATGTGGGACTTACAGGGTTTTGAAGAACCAAGAGTTCTTGACTCGCTTCAACGCTGTGGTAGTTTTATCGTCTAAGATGACGGGATAGTACTATTGCCGAAAAAAATTCATGGATCGCGCTACAAAATACGCCTGCTTTGTGGTTGTGATTAGCAAGTGGAAAGCATGTCAGACCGTACTGGATGGGTTTAGGTTTTATAAAAAGAGAAACTAAAAGTCATGTAGTCGTCGTTGGCTGTTCGTATTGCACGAGTTAGTTGAGTAGAAAATAGTAACAAAAAGTATAAACAGGTCGTAATCCATATTAAGGCTGGTTTACACTTAGCAAGAGCCATCGTAGGTCCGATTTCCAAAGAAAATATAAGGTGATGCAACAGATTATTCTAATCCATCCGGTCTTAGGCCAATTATTATCTTTCTGTTTTTCTTTCGAAAAATAATAGCGTGAAAAGCGGCTTAAAACCCTGCGTTACAATTAAGAACAAGTTTTCTTTAACGAAGAAAACTTTCTCCACCGTTGCTACTTAAGCTCCATTATGTTACTTGCTGTTTGACTCTCAATTTTGTTATCGCTCAGTGAGGAGACTGCTTCTAACATAAATAACTCGCTACTGTTTTGCAGCAAGTATACGTTGCAAAAAGTAGGGTCACGTTTTCCATTATGTAACGTCTGCTACAGCAAAAATAAGTACGAAGATTGGGAGGCTTCGTACCAAGGATTAACCCCATAACCCTGAACATCGCCATTTTTGACAGAAAAGCCGGGGAAACCTTTTGTAATATCTCGTCTATTGGCCTGAACCAATGACAGTAAAACACCGTAAACGCCACATAAGCCTTCCTCTTCAGTTATGGGCCCATATCATGGGTGTAAACGAAAAAAATACATCCAATTATTAACCCCACAAGGTATAATAAGCTCTCCTCCTGCTTGAACTGAATTGAATTCGATTTATAATGACGTTTTGAAGCCTTAATTAACGACCAGTAAATACAAAAATATCGACCTATTTGATAAGCACTGCGACAGCTTATTTCCAAGCGCTTTTTCTATGCCATCAACAAGCCCCCTCGGACATTAAAGCCCTTTCGTTTATACGCTTTCCTAAAACCCCTTAAGAAGATGTATAGCCAACACTTTATGGTAATAGCTTAATACTGAAGACGATCTGTTAAGAATGAGCAACATTTAACAAGAGTGGAAATAACTCGATGTCTGTGGGTTCATAGCCGTATATATATATATATTTTATTATTATTATTATTTTTTTGTGCGAATAATCATCTCAATAACGTCACAGTAGTAGAGGAAGGAGATGTTTTTGTACCTCTCTCACATATCTAGCACTAACGGAAAGTCTTCTTGTCGTTTTCATGTAGCGTTTAAATTTATTTAATGAATTTTAATTTCAGGGGCTTAAAATTGCCAAATATGAAAGTGATACGTCTTAAGCGTGCAAAGATATAGTCGGCAAAGTTGTGAACATCTACAGACCTTTGTGCGTGGTGGGGGAGGGGAAAGCAAGTTTGTGCCCGGCTCCCATCATACAAAGTCTGTAAAATTTCGCGACTTTGGGGATTTATATCTTCATCGGTTTTCAACAAATCACTTTCAAAACTTGGCAGTGTTACTCATTTTAAGGCATTCTTTCCACTGGTGCCAACTGCCGATATATTTTTCTTAACTTTTCCATATCAAAAGTAGACAGAAAGAAAATAACGTGGAATAGCCTCTCTTGAACTGTAACTGAGGTACCCTTTGAGGAAGCACCTCCCCGTATACGTTAATATGGGGAGACCCCCTCCCCACCTCATCCCGCCTTCCAGGTATAAGATATGGGCGTTGGAAAATAAAAATACTGTCTAACACTAGACACCTTCAAGCTTGTTTAGCTAGAGCTTAATGGAGCCGCTACCTTTTTGGACATAACATAGCTAACTTGGACTGAAGGCAAAGTGTTATTTATGGCGCTCCAAAGAGGAAAGGCATAGGGTACCGTTAGAAACACAAAGTCGTGATAGCATGCATTAAACTTTGTTGCGTTTGTAACAACTTATGTTCTGCCATTTATTTTTGGAATGTTCGTTTTTTGAACCTGTTTCAGTGCGCCTGAAGGGGGCATAAACAGAGAATAAGAACACGCAAAAAATACTTGCCATAAAAGGAAAAAGAATCAATCAAAAACAAACAAGCAATATACCTGAACAGCTGAGGATTTACTTCAAATATTTGCTATAAAATGATGAGCACTTAGCACTGATTTCAGAAAACGCTGTGTTCTCGTTCAACTCTCACCGCCATGGTTCAGTATTTCGCTGTTTTCCTGATTCTCTCTTTTTTGGGGGGGTCTCTCTGGGAACAACCACCTCACCTCAGCAACAAAACGCCACTAACCTGAGATCAGGCTCTATTTTCGTTTCACTTTGAAAATTACATTCCGACGGGCATGGCGAAAAGAGAGCCTGATACAAACCTTCTACAAAACGTCTGCCGCCCACTTTTTTGACTGATTGAGATTTGCCGAATCAGCCAACCAAAATTACTTCCGTTACTTGTTTTTCTAGTCTACAAATTTTTCACGCGTGCATGGGAAAAACGCAGACTGGCTGACTTAAAAAAAAAAAGCTTTTATCTGTTAATTTTTTCAGCTAAAAATAAAACAGTCAGCTCAATCACATTTAACTTCTTACGAGATTAAGGGAGATCTCGAAGGATTTTTCCTTTGGCGTGGACGGTAAAAAGTTTTCGAAAAGACGGCGACACGATGTTCTATTTGGCTAGGCACGCTCGAATTTAAAGTACTGAAATATTTTTCTGTTACCTTAATATTTTGCTCGGTAATTTCCCTCGATTTTCAGTACATAAATCTTTAAAAACGAAAGCAAAGAGCCAACGAGCGAGGACACCGGTTTTCCTGGTTTATTTTTTACAAAAGCGAAGGCAAACATCCAGTCTGTTACCTAAAGCCACCAGCTTTTATAATAATGCCTACACTGAAAATTCCTTGAACGGCGATACAATATTTTTCGTCTAATACTTTACAGTTGGCGATTGAGGTTTCTTTCGCAGTGAGCCTCCTCTTGCGTACCCCGTTCAGAGAAGTCATTCTCGGCTAAACTTTCAAATGAAACCAGTTTTAAGATGAAGAGTATTTTGATTTGCACTCGTTGAAGCTATTACAGGGTTTATTAAAAAATAGGAAGTAATCTTG